TTTGCATGGACGTCAGACTACCGCCATAGTTTCTTTGAAGAAAATAGAAATTGAACTTAGGGTGTGTTTGTAAACCCGGAAAATGATTTCTGTTTTTGAGTTTCCAGTGTTTGACAAGAGGGGGAAAAATGAGGTCAATGGAAAATAATGTCTTAGTCAAAGAAAAATAGGTATGTTTTGGGAGAAAATAACTTCCTTTTTTTGGGGGAAAGTTATTTTTCAAGATACGCACATGCAAAATTTTTCGGGCCTAATTTTTTGCGGGCTTTTGCGAGTCGGCCTACCGAACTCTCTGGTTAGGATTCATGCAACCATAGCTCGCCCCATGCGAGATGGCGGGTCATGTGGGCTGCTCCGCGAGCTTTTTTTTTAATTCAAAGTTCAAAAAAGTAAGTAAAACCTACAAATAATATTAATTTTTTTTGTTGTATTTAAAAATTTTAAAAAAAATTACATTTTTTAACTTTTTTAAATGTTAATATTATATATATATATATATATATATATATATATATATATATATATATATATATATATATATATATATAACACACACACACACACACACACACATATATATATATATATATATATATATATATATACACACACACACACACACACAGATATATATACATACACACACACACACACACATATATATATATATATGTGTGTGTGTGTGTAAATGTAAATGTAAATGTATATATTAATAGAGTGTTATTCACAAAAGAATTTTATCAAAAGTTTCAAACAATTAAAATTTTGAAGTATTCAATTCTTTTAATTTTCCTTCTCATTTTCTAAAAAAAATGAACCAAACACACAAAGACAGTTTTTCGTGTTGTAGCTAAACACAGGAAAAGATAATGTTTTCTGGAAAATTACCCATTTTTCAGAAAATATTTTCCAAAAGTCATTTTCTTGCTTTCCAAACGGAGCCTTAATGGACTTTTCGATTAAAAGCTTTCTTACTAGTATAAACTTAAAATCTTCAGATGGTTATCGGGTGTCCTTATTGTCAATAACCAAACCCTTCTCATCATCATCAGCAGTGGTAAGAGAGGAGTATGAAGTAGCTAGAGTTGAAGGATCGACTTGTTGTTTTGTGAAGGAACTTGAAACCACCATGAGACAATATAGAGAAAGGGGAACCAAATTAAAGGTCAATAGAGGAAAGATAGGCTGGAATAAAAAAAAGTCAATGAACACACAATTGAAAAAATAAAAATCCTTGTCACCAAGAACAAGAGAGCACAACCTTGTTACCAAGAACAAAAGAGTTGAAGCATTTCTTGTTTTCTTTTTCACTATACCAGACATACCTCTAGTCATCCACTCAAAGATCGACTAGAATAATGGAGGGTGAAGAAGACTGATGCAGAAGAGAGGATGCAACACCAACAGCTTCCACTAGACCTGAAGGACCGCGTGCGCATATATCATTTGCATAAATGGGTTATTACACGAGGTATTGATGAAGAAGCCATTGTCAAAGGCCTTTCTTGAGATCTCATATGAGACATCTCTTAATCTCCATCTCGGAGACGAGAGGAGGGGGTGGGTTTTTGTTTTGTTTTTTTTTTTTTTAATTTTATTTTATTTAAAATTAGTAAAATAAATTTTAAAATAATTTTTAATATGATAATTGTCATGTCAACGATAACCGGAGGAACATGTAAATTTTGATCGAATTGTATAATTTTGGATGGTTCAAGAACCCAATTGCCTTTTTTTTAGTCGAATGACCCAATTACATTTTCGAGTGTAGTTCGATTACTAATTTGAAAATTTTTCAAAAAAAAAAAAAAAACTGTGGAAACACGTTTGGTTAATGGAATGAATTTAGAAGGAATAATAATCATATTCTATTGGGGATAGAATAGACAATGAATAGAATAAGAATGGAAAATGGATTGCAACAATTGTATTCTAGCGCTTTTTCTTCTTCTTCTTTCTTTCTTTTTTTTTTTTTTTTTTTTTTTTTTTTTTTTTTTTTTGAGTATTATGCCCCACTAGGGTTCAAACTTGTGGCATCCCATTTGAAAGAGCCAGAGGTAGGGTGCCATTGAACTACATGTTACTTGACATATTCTAGTGTTTAGTTAGGTTAAGAAATAGAAATGCAATAATAATTCTAAATACAAAATTACTTTTTTACACCGACATATATATATACATACATATATACACAAATATAATTTTCACACACACCAAATGAAAAAAGTATAAATATATCTAAGATAAAAATAAATACTAAATTACTTATACAACCAACATAATTTTCATACTTAATTCTTGTCATGTTATATATAATAACTAGTAATTCACCCGCGCGATGCACGAGAAAAAATTATGTTATTAAAAATATAAATTAAAAAATAGAAAAAATAAAAATATTTTAAATTGTTTAATATAATAATATAAAACAAAAGAGAAGGATCATGGAAAGTGGTAGAAAAAATGGAGCCAGACATTAAGGAACCACATTCTACATGTAGAGATTGTGGAGTGTACTTTTCTATCTTCTCAAATGCTTCAAAGAAATGGCAGAAGGGAGAATGGATGAAGAAAACAAATGCTGCGGGGCCGTGGGTCAATTATTGAACTTCAGAATTAAAAAAAAAAAAAACATTTGAGCCATAAATAAAAATTTAAATATATAAATGTATATATCGTATGGGTCTTTAATGTTTTTCTGGATTTCTAAACTTAGGACTTTTAAAAGAAAAAAAAAATTCATTTGAATTATCTCCACAAAAAGTGGTCTTGGGCTTATAGAATGACATGTGGGTTTATGGAATGACATGTGCGTAAAGAATGTATTATATAATTATATAAAAAAATGTGTTCAATTAGAGTTTAAATTTACTCCTACAAAATTTGAAATTTGCTTTCTAAATGTAATTATCTTAGTTATTATTCATCAAGTGGCTTGTTGTCTATTGGTACTTGGTTGCTCCCCTAAGTGGGAGGTGATAGGTTTGAACCTCAATTGAGGCAAGTAGTGTGTATATGTAGGGTATCCCTCTTCCTCATAATAATAAAATCTTAGTTATTATTCGTATTGTGAAAAATATAATATAGATGAAATACAATTAAGAATAAATCAAGGTAATTATGTAAATTCTCTTATAAGTTTATTTGAATATGTACATAATTAGAGATTATATTTTTTTTGAATGCAATTAGAGATTATATTAACCATACAAAATTAAAATTTTAATTTTAATTGTAATTTTGTGTTCTATAAAAATAATAAATACTTGACCAATGGAAGCTCAAAAATATTATTATATTAAACAATTTAAAATATTTTTATGTTTTCTATTTTTATTTATATTTATAATAACATAATAATTGTAACATTAATTATTTCCCAAACCATATAGCTTTATTATAGTTAAGATTAATTTTTCCCGACAACGTTATACTTATTAAATACATTCAATGAAAATATTTTCTCAGAAATTTTATTGATTGAAAAGTACCAAAACATCTTCTTATGATAATTAAAGATGTTATTAAATTAGATTTTAAACCAAAAACCTTGTTGTCAAACGACATAACTCTTCCAAATTGGATGTCACATGTTCAAACTCTAGTGAGACCAGTATGTATGGACAGAGCTATGGAGGAACTACCTTCAAATGTCTAGTCTAAGCTAGACAAGCCCCTTCATTTTAAGAAATACTAACTCAACAACCACTTTTCTCTATCATCAAAGGAAATTTCAATTTTGGTCATATGACTATAGAAGTCTTGTTAATTTCAGCCCCTGACTTTCAAAAGTGCCAATTTAGTACCTTAACTATGTAATTTTTGTCAATTTTGGTCACTCCGGTAAAATTGCTGACCAAATTTCGCTGAAAATTTTTAATAGTTAAAATAATGAGGGTATTTTGGTCATTTCAAGCCTCTTTTCTTCTTCTCCGACGAGTCTATCCCTTTCTCTCCCGTTTCCGGCGTTCTTTCTCCCTGTAAACCCTATCTTTAACACCATCAAGCCTCCTTTCCGCACCATTTTAGTTCATTGCATTCGCTAGAAACGGGATAGGAAGGGATGGACTCACCTGGGAAGAAGAAAAGAGACGTGAAATGACCAGAATACCCTCATTATTTTAACAATTAAAATTTTTTGGCGAAATTTGGCCGGCAATTTGACCGAAGTGACCAAAATTGACAAAAATTGCATAGTTAAGGTACTAAATTGACACTTTTAAAAGTCAGGGACTGAAATTAACAAGACCCCTATAGTCATATGACCAAAATTGAAATTTCCTCTTTATCATCATAATGTAGTCCCATCACTTTCTCTATTTAGGGTGCATTTGGAAACCATATTTGGAAATCAAGAACATGACTATTGAAAAATATTTTCTGAAAAAATGAGTCATTTTCCACAAAATATTTTCATTTCTCATGTTTGGTTGCATCATAGAATATTGTCTTTGTATGTTTGGTTCATTTTTCTAGAAAATAAGTAGAATAATATATTCTTAGCAGAATTGTATAATTAAAATTTTAATTGTTGTTAACTAAAAAAGATTTGACAATAGCTTCGTTTTGCCCATCTATTTTTTTTCCAAATAACAAACAAAATATTTTTAAAAAGTATTGGTTTCTACTGGTTTCCATCGTCGGAAACCAGACTTGTTTTCGTCCAGACTAGTTTCTGGCGAAAACCAATATGATTTCTATTGGTTTTTGATGAAAACCAGTTTGGTTTGTTTTGGTTTACGGCGAAAACCAGTCAAGGTAGAAAGCGGAGGATGACAGAAGAAAGTCGAGGAAGCATTCTCGAAAGAAAACCAAGGAAGAAGGTCACGAAAAAATCAAAAAGAAGAAGCTGTTGAATTCGAAAAATAACTTCGTCAAAAAATGGGAAAGTGATTTTCCAGAAAACCAAATTATTTTTTCTTTAACCGGAAATCATTTTTTATTAACTTCAATTTTTTACCATCTCTCAAATTAAAAGTTCAAAAAATGATTTCTATTTTTCGAGTTTCCAAACACGAACCTAAATCCCGCAAATTTTCACTCCTCTTGTAGACGACACCACTATTCTGAAGACGTTACATCTACCATTTTCCTTTACCCCAACGCTGGATTATTCATGTACATAATACATAATGTGTATCTATCTGCAGTTGCTTGTTTTGTCGAATTTTTATTCCTTTTGTGATTGAAGCAATCGATCGCTTGAATCATTGCCCCGATTTGTTAAGCTATAACCGACCATTGAGCTTGATTGAGCTGAGCTAGGGTTTTGAGTTTCGATTTCTGCATTCAATGGAGTCAGATGATGATATGCACGACGCCAACGACATAGAGTCGGTCGACGAGGACTTCTACAGCGATGGCGACGGCTATGGCTATGGAGACTCCGCCATGGACAGTGATGCCGGGTTAGACTTTTTGGGCAACGAGTCCGATGACTCCGAAGAACTCGCCCTTAGGCGTTCTCAGGTACCGTTGATTCCTTATCGGTTTATCGAGTTGTCAATTCTACTTGAGCTTGTATTACATGCGAGTTTAATTGTTTGAAAATCCTTACTTATTAGTACGCTACTAATATTTGAATCACAGTTTATAGATAATGCTCCTGTCTTTGTAGTCAATTACTCCAATTTGTTGTCAATATTAAACTTGGAGATGTTTATAGATGAAGGTGGTGATAAATAATAATTGAACTCTTTGTGTATCCATGTGCGCACATTTAGTATTCCTTATCATATTAATCAATCGTTTTTAGGGCTATAGCATATAAATAGGTGGCAGGAGAGAGGACTTGTTTAGTCCTTGTCCTATAGCGACTATAATTGGGTTGGCCGGTTGGGTAATGGTAAAATGTGCTACACAAGTGATTTTGAGTGGTTATATGATTGTCAGTGTACTAGCATGTAGCACATCAGCAGGAATGCAACTAAATGACTTAGACTAGAGTGCTCACATTTGTAAACACTATGTTAGGAGACCAAAATTAGTGATTTGGATTATAGAAATTGTTACTCACCCCGTCCCATTTTACCTGTCTTACTTTCCTTTTTAGTTTGTCCCAAAATAGTGTCTCTTTCCAAAATTGAACATAACTATCATTCTACATTTCCCAATTTACCCTTTTGACTTTCTCAAATTTCTAGACAATTAATGAGGTAAGTACAATTGTACTTTGTACAAAAAACAACTACTTTTGCACAAATTTGAGGGGCAAAATTGGAAAGTTAGTAACATTTGTTTTGTTGCATTAAAAACCCTGCAAAAAGCAAATGTAACAATGAATTCAGGAGAAAGGGAGCACGGAAGTTCTATATGGCTAACTTTAGTACTTCCTTTGCTTTTATACCATTCGTTTGACAATCACATTGTTTCTTCTTTATATTTTAGAGAAATTATACCGTTTTGAAGGAAGAAGACATTCGTCAACGCCAAGAGGACGATATAACAAGAATTTCCACCGTTCTTTCCATCTCAAGAGAAGCAGCATGCATACTTTTGCACCGTTATAGTTGGTAACTTCATTGATCTTGGGTTGCATGTGTCATTTTTCTTCATTGAAATTTTGATTGAACACTTATATCCTTTGATATTTGAGCATCACTGCTTCAATTGGCAAATATCGATGTACCATCATGCTTCATTTTTTTACCATCGTTAAGAACTATAGATCCTAATTCTACTGTAGCTAACTCACTACATACTTTTATCTTTTAGGAGTGTAAATAAGGTCCATGAGGAATGGTTTGCTGATGAGGAAAGAGTCCGGAAAATTGTTGGCTTGTTAGAAAAGCCTATCCGATTTACCAATGCTAAGGAAGTAAGTGATTTTCTTATCCAAGATATTTTTTAAGAGGAGGTGGGGGATTAGGGTATATTAGAGTTTGTGCAATAGTTTGTATAAAACTTTGATGCAAAAGAACTTGGTTTGTAGATTTGCTTCTAAGGATAGGTTGTGATATGATCACTTTAACAAAAGACAACACAAACAAGCATAAAAGAAAGAGTATTACTCTAGGCTAACCCCTCTTCACTTGTTGAAAGCGAGCAAATGCAATCGACCTTGCATCACATCGCTTAGTGAAGCGATGGAAACATATAAGTGCAACAACGCAAGGAAAAGTGATCGCCTCAGATTGAAGCGATTGAGGTGCAAATAAAAAGTTGTGCTTTTATACACGGACCAAGTCAGCATAGTCTTCAAGCGAGAATTAGTCCTAAGGCTCAAATCTGAATCTAGTGCTTGGCAACTCCATAGCTTCCAACTATCAGTTGGTGGGTTTGGTGATGTGTTATTGACTCCATAGCTTTCGATGTGAATCAATTATCCTCTAAGAGGTATCTTACTTCACTTAAGAGAATTGACTCCATAGCTTTTGATGACTCCCAGTGTTGTAATAATCAGCCTTGTATATATAATATATAGATGAGGGTTCAATGAGAACAGGGCAGAGTTCATAAATGGTTGAAAGTTTTAGTAAAAAAAAACTGAGGGTTAATTTTATAATTATTGCAAGTTTACAATATTTATAAAAGTGACCCCGTCTATTTTCTTTTTATTTTTCAACAACCCTCAACCATTGATCTTCTCAAATAGATAATAATTAGTCTTCACTTTTTACTTGGGAGTTTGTTCTCATCTAAACCCTCCCCTATGTATGTGTCTGTGTATATATATATATATATATATATATATATATATATATATATATATTTGTTTTTTAAATTTTGTTTATTTCGTTTGTATGCATTATGGTTAGAATGTGTTTCTAGATTATTGTCTGCTATTAAACATTTATAGTTTATAGGAGGAATACTTGCTAGAAGTCTAAAAATTAAAATGTCATGTGCAAAAAAACCAAGTTTTTTTTGTTTTGTTTTGTTTTTTGTTTTGGTTTTTTTTTTTGTTTTTTTTTTTGTTTTTTTTTGTTTTTTTTTTTGGTTTTAAGTTGTGCACCTAGGCACCCGTCTAGGCACCCATCAAATGCCCAATGGGCACCTAGTAATTTTTACAACATTGGCATTTCTAATTTCTTCTCTTTTGTTTGCCCAAAAGAAGCATAGTCATCGATGTGCTTTTCTATCTCTTTCTTCGTTGTTTGCTTCTTTTGTCTTGGTCTGTGTCTCTCTCTGCCCACTTGTGTGGAAAAAAAGAGACATCCACAAAGAGTGGGCAGTGGGCAATGGGTGGTATGATGCTTGATTAATATATGTTTTAAAAACTTTTTAGGAGTTTGAACTGTTAGAACACGACTACCCCACATACTTGATCAGCTTGTCTTTAGTTCAAAATTTTAAAAAATTGAGCATTAGTCCACTTGGTGTTCCATCTTACAACATCCAGTGCATGCCAACCTCCTTGCTTTGTTCCCTTTTTGTTAATTAAAATATGAGAAGTCATCCAAAGTGAACTGTAGACCGTGTGCTTGGCTTCCGTATTGCCTTTTGTTATTTCATTGACGCATCTACACAAATGACTAATATTAGTTTACATGGAAGGAGTCCTTCCATCCTAAGTGTTGCAGACTTGCAGGAAGCCTGTTTTGTTCCGAACTATACTCTCACCTAATCATTAACAGTTAATTTTAAACTTGTTGATCTTGTTACAACATCTTCCGTGGGAGTAATTAACCAAAGGATACAAGTAGATTTGAATAACCTACACACTCAAAAGCACACATTAGCTATATTACTTATTAATATTAATTAATGGCAAAACTATGATTGTTCTTGCATCTAAATGCTAACAATTTCTAATGGGGGTAGATCTTTTGCTTCCTTCTTTTTATTTTTTATTTTTTATTTTTATTTTTATTGTTTTAAAGTATATGGTAACCGTTTCCAATGGATTGCATTAAAAATATTATTTGAGCAGGTGGTTTGTGGTATATGCTTTGATAACTGTCCTCTTGATAGCACAGTTAGTGCTGCATGTGGCCATCCCTTTTGTATTACATGTTGGAAAGGTTAGTCTCCTAGAAGTTCTCTTCAGCTGTCTTATTATTATTATTATTTCTTTCTGTTTTTGCTTCTTTTCAACACGAATAAGCTTCTTCAATACTTGCTTTCTTTTCATTCAACATGATTTCCTGCATCATTATACATAATTTGTTAAGTTTTGTCCTTTCATGAAGAGAAATGAAAGTAATACTGATAATTAAAAGAATTGGTAGTAGTTCGGGGCTTGGGTGGAAAACTTCAGGCATCAAGACAGAGTCCTAATGTAGCTGCAAAAAACTACATAAGTTCCCCATGTTCCAATGTTAAGAGACTGAGTTTCCAAATCACGTTCAAGAGCTGATTGCCTAAATAGTGGAATTTGGTTTAAGACTATGGTGGCAATGTGGACTGAGGCTCTGAACAGTATGTTGGTTTTAGACTTTTAGCTAGCATGTGGAGTTGATGGATTCTTTTATTACGTATTTTGAGGTTTATATCAGTAAAGTAAAGTGTTCTATGGCTGTCATGCGATGAGGGGATGTTGTCTCTAGTTGTGGAGATGTTTCTTCTACAGAGGTTTGGTAGTGTGTTGGGTAACACTGTTGTTGGTTTTAATGTTAGCTTTTAGAAAAGGTTCCACACAAACTTCAGCCTTTCAGTTATTTAGTAGTGAGACAAGTAAAGCCCCTACAAGTATTTAACCCATACAAAGGAGACTATAAGCTTTCAGCTACAAAAAGAAAACAAAAGATAAGGGAACAGGGAAAAACCTGAATTTATGGAGGACTCTTTCTCATACTACTGGCAGTAAATTTGGAAGAACTTACTGTTATTTTATAATGGTTGATGGAATATTCAGTATTAAGCTAATCGTCCAATGCATAGTGAAGCAAAATTTGATATAGATGTTCATCAAAAAATTAAACAAATAATAATTTTAAAGAGTTAATTACCGATTTGGTCCCTCGACTATGAGGATTTCACCACGTTGGTCCTCGACTTTCAAAATTGACCAATTGCATCCTCAACTATGGAAACGTTAACCAAAATGGTCCTCAGTCCGTTTTACCGTCAAAATGCAAGGGTAAAATAGGAAGTTCCAATATTCTTCATCTTCCCTAACATGCCTCTGTTTCGTTGGCGGCTGAAAACTCGGTTGATAGTCCTGTAGTGTATCATCACGGCAACCTGGACTTGAATATTGTAGAAATATGGATTTTGTCACCGAGCAGAGCTCCGTCGGTGTTTCACGGCGTTCGATGTCTGCCGGAAGTCGTTTGCTAGCCGGCGACGGAATCGACGTCACCACAAACAAAAAATCACCAGCGATCCGTACGTCACGATTTGCCTCGCCGGGGCCAGGGTGGCGTGTATCGCCGTCATTTCCAGCTCCGAGAACCCGATCTGGAACAGTCACTTCAAAATACCCCGATCATTAGATCTCACGGAAAACCTCCAAAAACTGATTGCGCCCTCCGATTGAAGATGAAATTCAGTCCGTTTAATGAAAATCCGGAGTACTAGAGCGGCATTCTTGAAAATCACGGTCTAAATGAGATTTATTTTCCGGTGAGGCACGGAGGCTCAGTGATGCTATATCAGGACGCCATTCGTCGGACGGCATGTTGCCGGAGATCGAATTGGAAGAGACGAGGGTTTTTGGCCACGAGAAATGTTGGGAAGACATGTCATGCTATACTGGAAGCTCGCCACTTAGTCTACATTTTTCCCTCTGGGTTGGTTGTTGGGTAAATAGTTTAGCGAGCAAAGTGCCCATCCTCCCCACAGCTGAAGCAACCTTTTCTGCCTCCGCCTCCGTTGCGGCCACCACCACCACCTTCGCCTCCGCTCTGTTAGCACTCCCTAGCAAAGTGCCCCTCCTCGCCACATTTGAAACAGTCTCCACCACGGCCCCGCAGCCGCCACCTCCACCATAACCTCCGCCACCGTAGCCACCGCCTCCACCTTCGTACCCGCCACCGTCGTAGCCTCCACCTCCGTAAGCGTCGAAATGAGAAGGAAATACACACTAGAGAAGGCTTAAACAATGAAACTACATTTTTATCCTCTATTTTAACGTCTCACAAACGGCAGTTTCGACTGAGGACCAACTCGGTAAGAAATAGCAATATAGCATAGTTGAAGATGCAATTGGTCAATTTTGAATGTCGAGGACCAAAGTGGTAAAATTCTCATAGTCGAGGGACCAAATCGGTAATTAACTCTAATTTTAAAGCTTAATGAAATATGAATAGTTGCCAAATAGAGGCACCCAAACTCCCAAATCACTACTGCCTTTAAGACTAAATCTCTTTTAATAAGTTTGTGTTGTGAATAGTTGCCAAATAGAGGCACCGAAATCACTATTCCCTTTAAGACTGAATCTCCTTTTTTGTTTAAATGGTGTAAACCATGAGGTGTTTCGGGTCTTTCTCCGTTCGTCTTACCGTCCGGGTCCACCCGAATAATCCCCGTTCGCTCCGGGAGCTCCGGGAGGCATGGGAGCTGGCCCAAGGGGAATTGTCACTTGTGGGAATCGAACCCGGGTTATCCCTAGGATCGTCCTTACAATGAAGCTCCTTTGCCACTTGAGCTACCCCTTTGGGTGAGACTGAATCTCCTCTAGTAATAGGTTATGTTGCAATATTTGCTAATTGCTACCCTGCTTAACAAAATTTTCTTGAGCCAAGGCAGTTTGTTAAATATTCAAAAAAAAATGGGAAGCACTGATAATTAATGGGAGCCAATTTATCCCATATAGATGATGAAAATCACCCTTCTCCTCACTGTAATACCACACCGAAAATGATAAGTGAACTTTTAGGGGTTATAACTTCCCATAACCTTGTCAGGTCCTTTTGACACAGGTGCGTCATCTGATCCGTAAAAGGTTCTGTGCCTACCTTTGATTCGTAAAAGTGATTGAAGTTTTATTTTTTTGTAATAACAATGAAAACTTGTACAGCCCATGTAACATGTAAAAGAAAAATTAATGTTAATCCTTAATTGGTGAGAATTTATTCTCTTATGTTTTGTATCTACTTTATCCATATTTCATATATGTTATCTTGTTGATTCCCATTTGGCTTTTTGATGACTGTTTTAAGGCAGATTGATTGATACAATTGGTTTAATGATATATTCTTTTCACAGTAAACATAAATAAAATGATATATGTTTAAAGCGTATTATACAATATTAAATATTTTAGTCTGGATATGAATTTGGACCATAAAAATCCTCATCTTATTGCACTTCCTTTCTTAAGTTAATATCATTTTTCAAATGCATATTTTAAAAGCAAATATAAATATCTTGAGCATTGATTTAATTTTATTTATATGTATTCTTATGGAACAAAAATATAACTGTTTCCAATAGATTCTCTATTGCAATTTCAACTCTAAGCTTGTCAAAACTATTACATATATTATGATGGATTATGATAATGTAAATTGAAAGATGATTTCTTAGCCTACTCTTGTTTCTTGACATTTTGATGCTAAAAAAGTAAAAATTATCTCCTTTAATTTCTTTACTTTTCTAGCTTATATTAGCACATCCATCAATGATGGCCCTGGGTGCTTGATGCTGAGGTGTCCTGATCCATCATGTGGTGCCGCTGTTTGTCAAGATATGATTGATATGCTGGCATCTAATGAAGATAGGGAGAAGTATTACCATTACCTTCTTAGATCTTATATAGAAGATAACAGAAAGGCAGGTTGAACTGGAATTGATCATAGTATTTAAATTGAAATATTATTGTGCAATTTATCTTTTCAGTACAAATTATTCCTTTCCATGTTTTTGTCCTACATTGTTACTTAAAAAATTGACATGATTATATCAAATAAATTATAAGAGTAGACTCATATTGAGTGACTTGAAATTACAGTATTATTTGTGTCACATGCAATAGAATCATTTCAAATTTTCAATTTACATTATAAAGGGCTTCTTTCTATTTTACATATAAGAAATGCCATACTTTTCTCTCCTACTGTGTTTATGTTACTATTGTGCAGTATGTGTGTATGCTATTCTTTTTTGGGGCTGTGACCAGGCAACAAAAATGAAATCCCCAGCAAATTGGTGCTTACTAATGTGGGTGGTCTAGAACTGTAGGTTTCCCTTGGCATATAATCTTTGAGCTGTGGGTTTTCATTCATCAGATGTCGCTACCTACTACTTACCATATTGTTACCTTGTTTTATTATTCTTTATGCCAGACAAAATGGTGTCCTGCCCCAGGTTGTGACTCCGCTATTGAGTATGTTCTTGGGAGTGGAAGCTATGATGTTATATGCAGCTGCACCTATAGCTTTTGTTGGAATGTGAGTGGTTTTTTTCTTGATTTCCGAGTTTTCTCAGCTTTGTTTCATTATTGGAATTGTTGAGCTTATTACTCTGAGCTGATCTGGCAGTGTACAGAGGAAGCTCATCGGCCTGTAGACTGTGAGACTGTTGCCAAGTGGATTTTGAAAAACAGTGCTGAATCTGAAAACATGAATTGGTATAGCAGTCAATTGCTGAACTTTTAACTGTGATTATTTAAATGCTAGCAAATATATTTTCACAAATGGTGCTGGTTGTTACAGGCTATAACATGGTTTTGGATTGATAATTGGAAATTTGGGGTTTTATAGTTTTTAACATTATGGGGAGATACTCGGAAAGAAGAAAGTGCAATGTCTGAAAAATTGAGAAGTTATTGGGTCTTAATGTCTTATAATGTGTGATCTGCCCTGTATAGATTTATGTACCTTAATGACTTTTAACTTGCAATTCACAAGTTGTGAGTACATAATATACACACTAAAAATACTCTGAAACTTTGGAAGTCCTTGCCCAAAAAATTCAAACTCCAAAGCATATTTTTAGTCTTTTGATGGCTTATACTGTTTCTCCTCTTGATCTCAGGATTTTGGCTAATTCAAAGCCCTGTCCCAAGTGCAAGCGACCAATTGAGAAGTACCAAGGTTGTATGCATATGACATGTACACCACCTTGTAAATTTGAATTTTGTTGGTAAGGATTTCACCTTAATCTTTAGTAGAATAAGAATAGTTTCTGCCCCAGAAGTCTACATTTTCTGTCAGATATAAATGCCTTCAACTACGTAATGGAATTTGAAGTGCAAGTGTTTTGATCATATTTCTAGATATTGGACCAATTTCAGTTCATTCCATGCACTATCAAACTTCCCAATGCTTAACTGCTGTTAAGTCTTCCTGTAAATAACTTCTGTTGCCGTGAACCTTTGGACCATATAATCCTGAGAACGCGAGAAGCTCACTTGAAATTACTGTTGATATTTTTAACTAGACTGGAAACAGAGTATTGTCAGGCTAAATTCTTTCTGAAGTTCATTACCCTCAGGTTCCAGATGATCAAGATACCTCTGGAATAGTCCATGACACCGCAACAACCCAATCAACACAACAGACTTTCCTTGTAGTCAATTTACAAGCGTAATACCTTGAAAGCATCAGTTTTTAAAGAATCTTTTTTTCCCTTTCTTTTAACAAAACCGACTGTTAATGTCTTTATCCACTGTGCACTCAATTCATTATTCCATCCTGAAGTTTTAGAAATCCCCTCACTGATGCACTTAATAATGATTGCCAGAACTAATATATACATATATAGACAAGGGATCCAGTGCGAAGCTTCTCCTAGGTGAAACGTTCGGATTAATCACAGCCTTTGATCTTGCCAAAATCAACAACCCAGAATGAAGAAAAATTAAAAAAAAAACGCGATGGCATTATGGTTATTTTGCACAAGGTCACAACTTAAGGTGCGTAAGTTTAAAGCTTAAGGTGCGTAAGTTCAAAGCTTAAGGTGTGTAAGTTTATAGCTTAAGCTGCGTAAGTTTAAAGTTTAAGATGCTTAAGTCTAAAACTTAAGGTGCGTAAGTTTATAGCGTTAGGTGCCTAAGTTTGAAGTTTAAGATGCTTAAGTCTAAAACTTAAGGTGCGTAAGTTTATTGCTTAAGGTGCGTATGTTTAAATAAAGCTTAAGGTGTGTCACTTTCTAGTTTAAGGTGCATCAGTTTAACTCTTAAGGTGCGTATGTTTAAAGCTTAAGGTGCGTAAGTTTATAGCTTTAGGCACTGTTGAAAAAATCGCTAGGCGTCTAGAGCGCCCAGGCGCCGATTTTTGCAACAGTGGCTTTAGGTGCCTAAGTTTAAAGCTTAAGGTGCTTAAGTTTAAAGCTTAAGGTGCGTAAGTTTAGCTTAAGGTGCGTAAGTTTATAGCTTAAGGTGCGTATGTTTAAAGCTTAAGGTGCGTCACTTTCTAGTTTAAGGTGCATCAGTTTAACTCTTAAGGTGCGTATGTTTAAAGCTTAAGGTGCATAAGTTCGAAGCTTAAGGTGCGTCAGTTTGAGGCACTTGATCATTTGCATCCATGTTGCCAGAAAGCACATTTTTTTGGGTTAAATTTTCCTTCAGTTTGAGCCGTTGATCTAGATTAGATCAACGGCTCAGATCTCACCCCATTTTTTACCTGGGAGAAGCTTCGCACGTGAAACATCCCCTATATATATATATACTTATTTATTTATTTATATATTCCTTCTTAGAATCTTAGATAATATCTACATTTCGTTGGTATAAACATCTCATCTCTATGCGCAATTTACCCTGTTGGGTTCACTTAGCTCTGACCCAATTTGTATAAATACCCATCTACTACCTTGCATTTATTTTTTTAATGTCTAGTGTCCTAGGTTGCCTCCCTACCATTCAGTTAATCAACTGAATAGCTAGGATCAAGTCTAGTAATCACTTAAGCTAGGATGAAGGGAAGCCCAAGTACTCATCCTCTTGTATGTATATGTATAGTTCCTTGTACATACCTTTTCATTCAGTGAATTATGCACTCTGTAAATATCAATTTAAACTGTGTGCAGATAGGTTTTTTTTTATTATTATATATTTTTTTATTTTAATTGCCTTATGAGTTATAAACTTGTACTGCTTATGTTGCAACTTTGGGCATTTCGACAATGCTTGTTCTCCCTTAGTTGTGTGTTCATGCATTGGTGGGCCATATGCTTTAATGTCAAATACAGAGTAGTTTATGCACCATCTCAGAAGCTTGAGCATGTAGGATATAATTAATTCTATTGTAACTAATTTAATTGTTATTGTCCCTTAAGCGGTGTGATTTAATCCCTTGTAGGCTATGCCTTGGTGCATGGTCAGACCATGGTGAAAGGACAGGTGGTTTTTATGCATGCAATGGTTATGAAGCAGCAAAGCAAGAGGGAGTGGTATGTCCAAAATTATGTTTGGTCACTTCTGGATGTCTCATATGTTTGTTTTCTGGGTCGTTTAATGCATTGATATTGAGTTAGTTGATGATGCTTAATTTACTTACCAACTTTTGTTTTGCCTATTATTGATTATAGTATGATGAATCTGAAAGGAGGAGAGAGATGGCCAAAAATTCCCTGGAACGATACACTCATTATTATGAACGGTGGGCTACGAACCAATCGGTATGTATGAGTAATTGTTCATTATTGTGTTTTTTTATTTTTTTATTTTTATTTTCATTTTTTTTTTAATTTTCGTCAATATTACTTCCATCTTGATATACCCATTTAGGTGCAAATTGGATGCGCCGTGTCTTAACGAGTTAACGAGACTGTTAACTTGTATTTTCTCAAGTGGACCTTTTTTTATATTGTCTGCCAAAACCTAATTAAATACAACTTATCTACAAAGTCTCAATCTTGGAGACTAGTCTTAGTGCTGAGGTAAATTTGGTGGAATCTGAATTTTCCACTTTCAGGAGTTACTCTTGTTTCCCAAATTTATTGGTAGGAGGCTACATATAGTTAGTTGGCCATATATTTCCTTGTGATGGCGAAGCTTCTTGTGTTATGTTGCATTATTGCATTTCTATTCATTGAGAAAACTCATGTTTTTTTTTTTTGGCTTTCTCTTCCGTTTCAGTGATTGCTATATATTTTTATATACAATATACAATTTGAATCCTTTGTGTTTGCCAGTAGTTCTTGTCACTTATCTTTTCTTGACTGGCTAACTGTGTTGAATTATGAAAGTATAAAATTATTTCCATGTAGTAATATCAGTGCAGTCAAATTTTCCACTTTGTTCTCTTTCAATGCTTAATATGCCCATTTCTTTTGATTGCAGTCTAGGCAAAAGGCTATGGCAGATTTACTTCAAATGCAAAATGTACATGTAAGTATATATTGCATTTTGCTTAATTCATGAGTGGGGGTGGATTGGGATCTCAGGAAGGGAGAGGAGGGAAAAAAGTGAGAAAGGAAAGAGAAAAGGGGAGAGAAGAAGCAAAGTGACAGGGAAGAAATGGATAGAGAGGAGAGGAGAAATATGCAGAAAATTGGGGTTTTAATCAGTAATCATTCCAAGTTATCCCAGAAATCATAAAAGAGTTATTTATAGGCTACAAAAACTGAACAGACTTGAATAATGAATTAGAGTGTCTTTGACTGGTAACAGTATTAATATGTTTTACTTTATAATTTCTGGACTCTTTTATTCCATTCTCCATTATTTGTTCTTTATCCCATTCATTTGTGATATTCGTGCTATTATTGAACAACAAGCATAGTAATGGTTAGATTTATTGATACGACTGCTCCCTGTCTTTTTTATTAATCTCTGCTATTTTTTCTCTAAAATGTTCAATGGCATTTCTGTTGAAACCCTAGGCCCGTTACAGTGGGCCCATTAGGTTATAGCTAGTTTTCCAATATAAATTATTGTAATCTGTACAGTTCTATGTGAGGAAATAGATGAAACCCTTTACACTTTCACATGGTATCAGAGCCTAAACCCTAAATAATCCCTTTCTTCCCTCCCACCGCCGTCGTCACTGCTGCCGCCACCGGAGCCACACTGCCGCTGCAACTGTCTACTGTTCCGACGTCCACCTGGTGGTTTTTCTTCCAAACTAACACCACAGGGGTTACCGGACCGTCGTCGCGAGCCTACAGCCAGGAATCTGGTCGCCGATCTCCGCCGCACGCGCCGCCGACATCGCTGGACTGCCGCTCACTTTTTCGGCCAGATCTCTCTCCTCCGGCCTCCGATCGCGACACCGACACCGCCGTTGGATTCGTCTCGACGAGGCGCTTCCGGGAGTGTTGACCGTTTCCCTTGCCGCCGCCCGTCGCCGCCGCCGCCGCCAGTCACCGCCGGTCAAAGAGAAACAGTGTGTTATTTTTTTTTGTGGGTAATCTTTATGGCTTTCTTTACCTCTTATCCCACCATTACTATGGACAAATTGGTTGGGAGTGAAAACTACACTTCGTGGGCCGCGTCTGTGAAACTCTGGTTCAAAGGTCAGGGGATGTCTGATCATCTAACCAAAAAGGTTGGGGAAATTGAAGAATCGAAGAAATCAGATTGGGAAAAGTCAGATGCGTTATTGTGCAATATGTTGTGGCAATCCATTGACCCTAAACTATATCTTATTTACAAGTCTTATGAAACTTGTTATGATGTGTGGAATAAAGCTAAGTCGTTGTATACTAATGATATCCAAAGGCTATATTCCCTTATATCTAATATGCTTAACTTCCGTTCCACTGCTGATATAAGTACACAGGATTTCTTGGGTCGGATTGAAGCTCTACAACAGGAGTATAATAATTTACTTCCGTATCAGGAGACGTTAGAAAATCATGCGAAGCAGTGTGATAAGTTCTTTATGGTGTTGACCTTGGCTGCCCTTCGGCCTGATCAGGTTCAAATTCGTGATCAGATTCTGTCTAGTCCTAATGTGCCTACTTTCACTGACACCGCTGCCAGATTGCTTCGTGTTGCCTCAGCTCCCTCGATTGAACCTATTGGAGAATCATCAGTTCTAGCTACTCGGGCTGTGGATAGAGGACCTTCTGGACCATCTAGTGGTGGTGGTGTTCGTCGTGGCAGACGTCCTCGGTGTGAATACTGCCACAAAGATGGTCATACCAAAGATCGTTGTTGGAAGTTACATGGTCGACCTCCCCGTTTTGCTAATCTGGTCCAGGCCACTGCATCCGAGAGTCAGACTCATGAACCAACCTCTACTCCAATTGAGATGACCTCTAGGGAATATGAAGAGTATCTCCAGCTTAAAGCAGCATCCCGCCTTGAATCTTCCACACCTAATGCTGGTATTTCATCTTTGGTTTATCTTTCACACACCAATACTCCAAACTCTTGGATATTGGACTCAGGTGCTTCAGATCACATTTCCGGTAACCTTTCTCTTTTGCATAATGTGTCTAAATTTAAGACTTTACCTATGGTCACCTTAGCTAATGGTCATCAAATACCAGCAATTGGTGTTGGTCAGGCTTCCCCTATATCGTCTTTTTCTTTGGAGTCTGTTTTATATGTCCCTAACAGTCCCTTCAACCTTATCGCTGTGAGTAAAGTTACCCGTACTCTCAATTGTTCCATAACCTTTTGTGCTGATTCGGTTGTTGTGCAGGATTGCAGTATGGGGAGGGTGATTGGCACTGACAATGAGTCACAGGGCCTCTATTACATGCGGGGTGGTGATGTTGCTGCTTCTGCCTCTACAGAGTCTCCTTTACTTATTCATAGTCGTTTGGGTCATCCTAGTCTCTCTAAACTAAAACGGATGATCCCGGGTCTGTCTATTGAGTCTTTTGATTGTGAGTCGTGTCATCTTGGAAAGCAATCACGTAAGTCTTTTCCGAGAAGAGTCAATAATCGGGCTGCGTCCCTCTTTGATTTAGTTCATTCAGATATATGGGGTCCTTGTCGTGTCAACTCTATTTTGGGTTTTCATTATTTCGTAACCTTTATTGATGATTATTCAAGGTGCACTTGGGTTTTCCTTATGAAAGATCGTTCTGAATTGTTTCAGATTTTTCAAACTTTTTGTGCTGAAATACAAACTCAATTTGACAAACTCATTCGTGTTTTACGTAGTGATAATGCTAAAGAATATCTCTCTCATCCTTTTCAGTCATATATGACATCTCGTGGTATATTGCATCAAAGGTCATGTGTTTACACACCTCAGCAGAATGAGGTGGCTGAGCGTAAGAATAGACATCTAGTAAAATTGTAGAAATTGCCCGTACTATGTTGTTACACTCCCATGTTCATTCCCAATTCTGGGCTGATGCTATTCTTACTGCTTGTTACCTGATCAATCGCATGCCATCTTCTGCTCTTAACAATGACACCCCATATTCCATTGTGTGTCCTGTTGATCCTTTCCCTATTCATCCTCGTGTTTTTGGGTGTGTTTGTTTTGTTCATGACATGACTCCAGGTTGATCCAAATTAGATCCTAAAGCAGTCAAGTGTGTCTTTTTGGGTTATTCCCGTGTCCAAAAGGGTTATAGGTGTTATTTTCCAGCACTCTAGCGTCACTTTGTGTCTGCAGATGTCACCTTTATTGAATCCACACCTTTTTCCAGCCCACCTCAAGGGACACGACCCCTGTTTCGGATGTGCTTCCCATACTTTATCTTGGTCCTCTTCCTCTTGTCCAGTCCACTGTTCCTCCAGCTCAACTGACAATCCTCCTCTTCAGGTCTATCACCGGCGTCCTCGCCCTGCAGTTCCTGAGGTCCCTAGTGACTTGCCAGTGCTGTCCGATCCTCCGGCTGCGGTTCCACCACTTCCACTGCAATCTAACACTGATCTCACTGAGGCACCTATTGCTGTTCGAAAAAGTACACGTTCTACTCGTAACCCCCATCCTATATATACCTTTCTGAGTTATCACCGTGTCTCGTCCCCTTACTTTGCATTTCTTTCTCACCTATCTTCTGTGTCTATACCCAAATCCACTCGTGAGGCTCTCTCGGATCCAGGTTGGCGTCAAGCCATATTAACAGAGATGGAGGCCCTCCAGTCTAGTGGCACGTGGGAGTTGGTTCCTCTTCTTCCTGGTAAAACTGTGGTTGGTTGTAGATGGATTTATACGGTGAAAGTGGGCCCTGATGGCGCAATTGACCGTCTTAAGGCTCGACTGGTGGCGAAAGGCTATACTCAGATTTTTGGTTTGGATTATACTGATACTTTTTCCCCGGTTGCTAAAATTGCTTCAGTTTGGTTACTTTTGTCTTTGGCAGCCATTCATCATTGGGACCTACACCAGCTGGATATCAAGAATGCTTTTCTTCATGGTGATCTTCACGAGGAGGTTTATATGGAGCAACCACCTGGGTTTGTTGCTCAGGGGGAGTCTGGTCTGGTATGTAAACTTCGCCGTTCTTTATACGATTTAAAGCAATCTCCACGAGCTTGGTTTGGAAGGTTTAGTTCTGTGGTGTGTGAGTTTGGTATGACAAGAAGTGCGGTTGATCATTCTGTTTTCTATTGTCATTCTAATGAGAAATGCATATACCTTGTAGTATATGTGGATGACATTGTTATTACAGGGAGTGATCAAGAGGGCATATTTCAGTTGAAGGAGTATCTCTTTAGTCGGTTCCAGACTAAGGATTTGGGTAAGCTGAAATACTTTCTTGGAATTGAAGTGGCTCAATCTAGCAGTGGTGTTGTTATTTCTCAAAGGAAGTATGCCTTGGATATCTTAGAAGAAATTGGCATGCTGGACAGTAGACTAGTTGATAATCCAATGGATCCGAATGTTAAACTCCTACCAGGACAGGGGGAGCCGTTGCCTGACCGAGAGCGATATAGGAGATTAATTGGAAAACTGAATTATTTCACGATCACACGACCGGATATCTCCTTCGCAGTTAGTGTGTTGAGTCAGTTTCTTGAGACACCTTGTGATTCTCATTGGGATGCTGCTGTTCGTGTTCTAAGGTATATATCAAGAGAGCACCAGGACAAGGCTTATTATATGAAGATAGAGGACATTCACAAGTTGTTGGGTATTGTGATGCAGATTGGGCTGGTTGCCCGTTTGACAGACACTCTACTTCAGGTTATTGTATTCTCATTGGAGGTAATCTCATATCTTGGAAAAGTAAGAAGCAGGTTGTGGTTGCTAGGTCCAGTGCTGAAGCAGAATATCGAGCCATGACGCTTGCCACATGTGAGCTTATGTGGCTTAAACACCTACTACAAAAATTGCAATGTGGCAATGTTGCTCAAATGACGTTGATATGTGACAATCAAGCAGCTCTACACATCGCGTCAAATTCTGTTTATCATGAAAGGACTAAACACATTGAGGTTGACTGCCACGTCATTAGAGAGAAGATTGTGTCAGGGTGTATTAAAACTAGCTTCGTCAATTCTGCAGATCAGTTAGCTGATATCTTGACGAAATCCCTTAGAGCTCCTAGAGTTGAATATATTTGTAACAAGTTTGGAGCTTATGATCTATACTCTCCAGCTTGAGGGGGAGTGTTGAAACCCTAGGCCCGTTACAGTGGGCCTATTAGGTTATAGCTAGTTTTCCAATATAAATTATTGTAATCTGTACAGTTCTATGTGAGGAAATAGATGAAACCCTTCACACTTTCACATTTGATGGAAACACTCTTTCTCTTGGGATTTTAACTTTCAATTTTCCACCTTGTTCTCTTTACATGGTATATTGAAAAATATCCTTAGTTGTCATGCCAATAAGTTCCTTTAGAAGAGAATCAATGGCGCATCTTTCTCTAGGTTCCTTTTTCCACTTCAGCCTGGAGACTGCTTACCTCTATTTCCCTTTTTTATTAATTTGTATTATTTTCATATGAGGGTATGTGTATAGTCACATTCGAAGCTGTGATATCAAACTTTTTGAGGATAAAATTGTGATCGAGTAAAATACTAATGATCAGAGTCATCAGACAGAACTGACAAGAGCACTTTCCTAAGCAATAAGAATTTACACATTGTACGAAAGTGAAGAAAAGGTTTTTGAATGATAATTAGAAAGGAGAACACAGTGCCCTATATATACATCTAGAAGACCTCTAAGAAGGAAACAAAATAAATTATTTCCTCATGATCACCTACTCAAATCCCTATAAATCTCTATAATTAAGTGATCCCCAATCCATGCTACCTAATATAACTCCCCCTCAAAGTTGGAACATTGATGTTAATCATGCCCAACTTGTTACACAAATAACTAACTCGAGTCTCATTTAGGGCCTTTGTAAATAGGTCCCCTACACAATATCTTGATGTTGATCTTCTATCCCAAGGGCATCCAGCCCAATCTGCATCTGTATATCCAACAACTTTTGTATGTCCATGATCCTTATAAAGTAATCCTGTACGTGGAGATCTTTTCAAATATCTTAAGAATCTAATGTCTGCATCCCAGTGACTTTGACATGGCTCTTGTAGAAATTGGCTAACTACACTTTCAGCAAATGAGATATCTGGACAGGTGATCGTCAAGTATAGTAGTTTGTCAACTAATCTTCGGTATCTACTTTGATTGGATAGAGGCTCCCTTGTCTTGGAAGAAGTTTGACATTTGGATCCATGGGTGTGTAAACTGGCTTGTAGTTTTTGTCATACTTGTTTCTTCAAGAAAATACTTTAATTTCCCAAGGTCTTTTGTCTCAAAGTGTTGAAACAAATAATTCTTGAGCTGTTTTATTCCTTCTGTAGCATCTCCTGTGATGACAATGTCGTCAACATAAACCACAAGATATATGCTTTTTCCAAGAAGATGTTTATAGAAAATAGAATGGCCGGCCTTGCTTTGAATCATGCCAAACTGTTTGACCACATCACTGAATCTCCCATACCAGGCATGTGGAGATTGCTTCAACCCATAGAGAGAGCGTTTGAGATGACAAACGAGATTTGCTCCCATCTTAGCCACAAAGCGAGAGGCCTGCTCCATATATACTTCCTCCTTCAAATCACCATATAAGAAAGCGTTTTTGATATCCAACTGATATAATGGCCAGTGGCGATTGACTGCCATTGAGAAGAAGCGGATAGAGGTGATTTTGGCTACAGGTGAAAAAGTGTGTGTAGTCAATGCCAAATACCTGTGTGTATCCTTTAGCAATAAGTCGAGCTTTTCTATCAACTTGTCCATCTGGACCAACCTTCACATTATACACCTATTTACAACCAACCACAGTTTTTCCAGGAGGTAAAGATACTAACTCCCAAGTTCCAGAAGAATCAAGTGCTTCCATTTCATCAATTATTGCTTGCTTCCATCTTGGATGAGTTAATGCCTCCTTGACATTCTTTGGAACAGAAACAGTAGAGACACTAGTAATGAAAGCACAATACGATGGAGACAAATTTTTTTGTGGGAGGAAATTATAGATAGGATAATGATTTCGAGTGGATCTTTTACCTATTCGACTGGCAATGGGAGAGTCTGTTTCTGTTGTGGTTTGGGCCGTGTCAATGGGAAGCATTGATGTAGGACATGAATCAATCGGACGTCCATCCTTTTGGGAATTTTGACGACTGCGTCGTTTGTATGTGTACATAAATGGTGAAACATGTCCTTCCTCTTGAATGGTTGGATTTGGTGTAGTTCTTTCAGGAATCGGTATAGTTTTTTTAGGTATAGTGTGAGATACAGCCTCTGAAAAAGTAGGAACATGGAGAATTTCTGTTACCTGAGTGGGTTCCCCTGGGAAGTCAGACTCAATGGAGGTGGAAGCGATTGAGAAATTTTCTAGTCTTCGGAAAACCGTCACGCGCCGGCGTTGGGAGAAGGGCGGTGGATGACGGTGTGCGTGATCCTCGTGCTGGCCAAATCGGCGTTGAATTTTCTAGACACAGTCCCTGGACATAGGCACACGCACATCTTCCTAGGTGGGCGGTGATAACAGCAGACCAAGAGAATTTTTTTTATTTTTTTATTTTTGGGAAAACGTACAAATATGCCATTGAACTATTTGGGGGATAGCAATTAAGCCACCGAACTCCAATAAGCTCCAAATTCATCCATGAACCTGAAAAAAAAAAGAGCAATTAACACTTTTAGTAGGTTAACAACAAGTTTGTGCTGATTGGGATGCCATGTGTATTTTTTTTTTTATTATTATTATCCTACTAAGCATTTGACCCTAAAAAAAAAAAAGCATTTGACCCTCAACTATAGCTTCTTTATTTTGCGTTTTTTCTTTCTTTTGCGGTTGTTTGCTGTATTTTTGAATCAGGAAAAATACTATATGGGTGTAATTTCTTAAAATGAAGTTTTCCTTGATCGAAGTTTATACACTGAAAAACTTTCACAAAAATACATACATATTACACGCATAATATAACTATAATTTCAATTTAAAAAATTACACGCAATATATTAATTTATGCTTAGCAATGCAAATTATAGTTATATTATGCACTATATTAAGAAATTACACGCAATGCAAATTATAGTTATATTATGCAAATTAAATTGATTTCTTACATTAGCAATGCAAATAAATTTCTGCGTGTAATATATATATATATATATATATATATATATATATATATATATATATATATATATATATATATTTTGTGGCAAGCTCTTGCTCTTTACCTATAAATGTTTTGTTCTCTCCGCAGCTGGAAAAGCTTAGTGAAACTCAATGCCAACCTGAATCACAATTGAAGTTTATTATTGAAGCCTGGCAACAGGTAAGCTATGCCTTCAATTGACAACTTAGTTCATGTTACATGTTCAAGATCTTATTAGTTAGCAAAGTTAGTTTCTATTATTATCATTCAAAGAAAATTCAGATCACATAATTTGAAGAAGATATCTTCAAAATATTGTTTATCCTTGTACTAGTCAGAGGGGAATTTATCATGTGAAATGCAGGTTGGTAAATTGTTTATCCTTGTACTAGTCAGAGGGGAATTTATCATGTGAAATGCAGGTTGGTAAGTGCTATAAATGCATGATTGATGTGCAATGGCTAGACGCACTTAGTCATTAAAAGCTACAGACAATTGTTTGAGGGACAGTACTTGTGTTGTCAGATCTGAACAGAAAGGATGCATTGCAACATGTTTCTTGATCATGTGTCTGCTCTCAACTCTTGATTTATTTATTTATGTATTTTGGCAAATGAGACTCTAGAAGTCTTTCTCCAATTACTTTTGGAGATGTTGGTAAACTGACTGGGGATGCTCTAATATATTATACATCTAAGTATTGTTAACCTTCTCATAAGATTTAAATGTTTTGTAGTGAGTCATACTGTTTTATTTATTTATTTATTATTATTTTTTATTTTTTAACACCAAGACTGCATTGGCTTGTCTCTTTCTTTTCAGACATTTCGTGAAAGTTAAAATGAAATTATGCATGTTATGGTACCCCATGTAGGTTCTTAGTATGATAGCTAATGTATCTATATTTAATGTGTGACCTGTTGCATCTGTGCCATATGAGGGAGGAAATAGAAAGCTAGCCATTGAAGTTAGATACTTTTTGGATCTTTGGAAACAGTGTTGCTAGTCTTAAGATGTAAAATGTGCACCATTAGCTCATAAAGCACTAGATGTGAAAGCATAGTGTACAATATCATGTGTTGTGTTGACTATAATCTGGGACCAACTCACCAAATAAGTACTGAAAACTTTTCACACCTGAATCATTTCACTTGTGGGTTTTCGGATACCTATAGTTTCTATTCGAATCAGATCTACCATCTCAGAAAAATAGATGGTTCTGATGATTTGCTCTTGTTATGTGGAGAGAGTTGATCCTTCTGCATTTTTTGCAGATAGTAGAATGTAGGAGAGTGCTGAAGTGGACTTATGCATATGGATTCTATCTTCCTGAGAATGAGCTTGCAAAAAGGCAGTTCTTTGAGTACTTGCAAGGTATATATGTTTAGTCCAAGTAAAAGCTTTCCCTCTTTTCCTTTTCACAGGTCCTGCATGTCACATGTGCTATTTTGTGCAGGTGAGGCTGAGGCCGGTCTTGAGAGGCTTCATCAATGTGCTGAAAAGGAATTGCAGAGCTATCTCAATGCCGAAGGCCCTTCCAATGATTTTAATGATTTCCGCACTAAACTTGCTGGTCTGACCAGGTAACTGAAATAGATATTCAAAACCTTAAATGGTTGAATGTGTTCTTGTCATATAAATATTTATTTCTTGTATAAGTACTTGATTTATTTATTTATTTTTGGGACTGATATTATATGTAATATCCATTTACTGCTAAGCCATTTGAATTTTCATGCATAGAGGAAATAATGTTTTTTTGATCTTGGAGAAACATATTTCTATCTTTATTTCTCTGATGTTTGGGTGTCCCCTTATGGAGTTGTAATGTTGAGCTCTTCTTTATTTGCTTGCCCAGTGTTGAAAATCACTCAACCTGAAAACAAGCACGAGCCTTAACCTACCATTTGCTCGCTACAATCTAAGAAGTCTTTTTACTTAGTAAACACTGATGATTGTTTTGATTAAAACAGCGTAACTCGCAACTACTTTGAGAATTTGGTTAGAGCATTGGAAAATGGCCTATCAGACGTGGATTCTCATGGAGCTTGTAGCAAGGTGGTGAGCTCAAGAAATGCAGCTGGGAGCAGCAAGGTGAAAGGTGGTGCTCGGGGAAAGGGGTCTGGGTCAAGCCAAAACTCGGATGATTCAGGTGGTTGGGCATGTGATCAGTGTACTTACTTGAGCCCATGGTCTGCATCTACTTGTCAAATGTGCCACCATCGGCGACCATAAAGTGTATATGGCTGGATGAAACAAGAAATACTTGAAGATATGGTCTCCAAAAGAAAGATTAGCAGGTGAAGATTCTGGATCTGCACATCCAATTTGCTCTAGTGGAAATACAGAAATGGATCTGGCTGATGTGGTTTGTGTTGGAGGGGCATCATGATATCCATGATTTACTGTAAATAGTTTTTTATTTTATTTTATTTTTGGTTGTTCAGTGGAGCACTGTTTGACTGCTGTATAACTCGAGTAAGGAAATGCAAATGTGGTAAATGATCTCTTGAGAGTAAAATGTGCATAACATGTGCTTATTACATTTCTCAACCGGAAAAGCCAGCTACTTGAAATCAGTGAAGAACTGATTGCTTTTAGCCTGTTTGACTCAGCTAGGCCAAAGAAAGAACCCTTGGATTTTACAATGTGTTTTTCAGTGCAAGTAAAATGTATTAAAAGTGTAAATAATTGGGTTCAAATTTGCAAGAAAAAAGTGAAAGTAAAATCACTTACAAGTGCAAGTAATTTACCTTGTTAGCCTTCGACGCTATTTGTGCACCTAATGATTAAGTCACATTTGTGCACTTAATGCTAATGTTAAGTGCAACTAATGATAACGTTAAGTGCCCTGATGATCAGTGTATATTTTATTTGCACTTGTAATACATTTTACCTGGACTTGTAATACATTTTACTTGTACTTAGGTGCATTATATGAAACTGTTATTTGGACCAAGTTTTAGAATTGCACCTAAAATTTTAAAATTGCACACTTTAAGTACAAAAATCACGCACCTTAAGTACATAAACAAAGCACCTTAAAAATACAAATTACATACCTAAAGTTTTAAAGTGGTGCACTTTAAGTTTCAACAATTGACGCACATTAAACATACAAATCACGCACCTTAAGAAGGAAAATCACGCACCTAAAGTTTTAGCCCGACGCACCTTAAGTTTCAACAACTGGCGCACCTTAAGCCACACAGTACAAAAATCACTCACCTTAAGCATAAAACTCACACACCTTAAGAAGGAAAACTAAACACCTTAATAAGGAAAATTATGCACCTTAAGAAGGAAAATTACGCACTTTAAATTTGACCTATATGCAAAAATAGCAAATTGTCACCGCACGTTTTTTTAATCACCGTTAATCTTGGACGTTGATTTAGGCAAGATCAATGGCTCAGATTTAACCGCACAACCGCACCTGAGGCAGCAACCGCACAGGAACATATATATATATATATATATATATTCTAATAAAAAATAATAGTACAATATTTGTAAAGTAATATACAATTGTACATTTGTACACACACACACACACACACACACACACACACACACACACACACACACATCTAATAAGAGCCAATAAAGTTAGGCCTATAACTGAAAATAAAAAATGTTGGTCTAATTGTTTGTTGAAATGAATGATTTATATAATTTTGATTTTAGTATTTTTATTAATTTTCCTTCTTTACCCTCTATTATATAATTATTTTTCCTAAATACCCCACCATTCCGTTAGTGTAAACTTTAGTAACGTAATATTCCATTAACTGTTTATTATTCTTGACCTACTCATTAATTTCATTAAGGAAGGTTTTAGGTTCGAACCACATCCTAATCAGAGTTGACATACTTGTTGAACATAAATTATGAATATATGTTAGATTGTATTAAAAAAATACAATATAAAATTAAACATGAACTTTGGTCAATTAATTAGCTACACTATATACATAGCGTTCAAAGTTGAGCATCAAATATTATAAAGAATTAATTTCACTTTTGGTCCCACGACTTTTGATGTTCTATCACTTTTGGTGCACAACTTTAAATTTTTTTAATTTTGGTGCCTAACTTTGTTATTTTTATCAGTTTTGGTCCTTTTGGCGAATTTGACAGCGAAATGTTGCTGGATTTTATATTGTTAGGCGTAAAATCATCATCCCAAGGCAACATCTTCAATATCTAAACAAAATCATCCTGTAAAATCATATCTATATGTGTTTGATGATGAGAATAATGTGGAAGACGGGCAGAAACCAGACAGATCTATGTGATTTATAGTTTCGACCATTGGCAAACTCTTTTTTTCCTCTTAATATGGTTTTTCTTTTGTTTAAATATTGAAGATCTTTCCATGGGATGACGATTTTGCCCCTAAAATATAAAATCCAGAAATATTTTACCGTCTGGCTGGAAGGACCAAAACTGATAAAAATAACAAAGTTAGGCACCAAAATTAAAAAAATTTAAAGTTGTGCACCAAAAGTGATAGAACATCAAAAGTCGTGGGACCAAAAGTGAAATTATTTCTATTATAAATAAAGAATCTTGAAAATCATTTTCTTGCATTTTTTTAAAAAAACAAATCTATGTTAAGTTTATTTTTCCTTTTTTTTTCCGCTTAATTAATCTTGTTTGATTATTTTGAACAAGACTCAATATTTTAATTATGCTTTGCATTATTGGATTGATTTAGGTCGTTATGCTATTAATATATATATATATATATATATATATATATATATATATATATATATATATATATATATATATATATATATATATATATATATATATATATAATTTTTTTGTATTTCTATAATGATACAATTGTACATTACTTTATAAATATTGTATTATTATTTTTTTATTGGACAAAATTGTTCTTACATCATTAAAGTTTCACACAGACACACATACACACACACACACACACACACACACATACACACACACACACACATCTTAATCTTCCTCTTGACATGACACTTTTTATTTGATGATTTAGTTTTTAGTCTTTGGTAATAAGTTAGTGGGATTTCAATTCATGATATCCAATTGTTATAGCGTCATCCCCTAAATTATTAGTGGTGTAAATGTTACCCTTCAATTTTCAAAACGTGACATATATTGCCCCTCCCTTAATAGGAAGAAGGAGAAACATTGTTGTCAATAGAAGGAGAACAACAATGTTTCTATGAGGTAACTACCATTGCCATGGCCATTCTCGGTCTTCATGTACTATCATGGTGTAGTAGAGTACCCAAGTGACAATGATACACTTATGAGTCATTTTGTCAAACACTTTGTCTAAACCTCATTCCGGACTTTGCCTTCTTGGATCTAAGGCGAGAATTGCAAGTGGAAGGAGACTAGAATATGCCTCAATCTCTTGTAAGCATACTCATCTCTAAGCCTCTTGCATGATGTGCACACTCATCATACAAGAGTCAATACAAATTGCACTTTCAATAAGACATCTACACATAGTCAACTACCTTGATCAATTCATACACAATCACAAGAGAATATAATCAAATTCACAAGATGATCCTAGCCAAACATGGTCTAGATTGAAAGGCAACAACAATTGAGCAAAGCAATGGAGATGGATGATGAAATTAAAGAGAGAAAATGTAGGTATTATACTTAGCTCAAGAGTAATTCACAATCAATCCACACGATTTTCCCAATCAAGCAAGAAGAAGATCAAAGATTGAAGAAGAATTGTCAATTCCTCTTGAACCCTAGAAATATATCCTCTCTCAATGGAGAGAGTTTAGAACTTGGTCTAGAAGTGAGAGAAAGTAAATCTCAAATAATGGAAAGTCTCATATGGAATGTATGCCTAAACAATCCCGCCAAAAACAATTTATAACTAGTGATCTGGATGTTGGTACGAGCCCTGTATGTGCGTACGCGTGCTCGTATCCGTCTTCATTTAACTCGGCCGCTACCACGATCGTGATTCAGGCATGCAGCTGTCGGCCTCCTTGTGTATGAGGGCGTGTACGACCATACAACCACTCGTACAACTCTCAAACTTCATGATTTTCTTCACTTTGCTGTTTTGTTGCTTCCAAATGCCCTAAAACCACTCAAATGCCTTACAAGTGTTCCACCGTTAGTCCTCAAAAGCAACTTATATGAAAATAAAGCAATTAAGCACACAATTCAACCCAAAAAGGCTCAATGAAGGCAATAAAGACCACTAAAACACCCCACAAAATAAGGCTTATTTGGCACTCATCACTGATAAAGGCCGAGTACGCTCCACTTCATGATATCTTGATGGGATCTCAATTGTTTGAACATTAGACAAATACTCTAAGCAAAATTCCACAGCTTCTTCAGAAATATAACACTTGGCTATACAACCTTCAGGTCGATTGCGATTCACACATAACCTTTCATGATTTTCATATATCTTTCAAATGGGTACATCCATCTATACTACACCGATCCACACAATTTGACCTCCATCACAAGGTGAATAGTTAAAAGAATCATGATATAAAAAAATGAAGGAGGAAAGTACTTCTCAAGCAAAGACAACATTGTCACAATCTCATCTTATAGCGCATCTAAGTTTGAGGCATCTATCACTTTGCTACATAAGACATTAAAGAAGAAACACAACCGAGTGATAGCATACCTTACATGTTTGGGCAACAAGAAACACAACCAAGTGATAGCATACCTTACATGTTTTGGCAACACACCTCGAATGGTAACTAGAAGCAACTGTTGCATGAAAGTGTGACAATCGTGAGATTTAAGACCAACAAGTTTCAACTCCTTCTCATTGACAAGGTTTCTCATGTTAGATGAATAGTCTGTTGGGACTTTCATATGTAACAAAGAGTTACAAACTTTCTTTTTCTCATCTTTGCTAAGTGTATAGCAACTCGGTGGCAAAAAAGATTTTTTTCCCCTTGCTTTGGTGCCAACTCCATTCTCACATTAATTTCCACAAGGTCTAATCATGCAGCTACCCCGTCTTTGGTTTTCCTGGGATGTCAAGTAATGCGCCAATAATACTTTCACACACATTTTTCTCAATGTGCATGATGCCAAGAACATGTCGAACATGCAAATGTTTCGAATACTCAAGCTCAAAGGAAATTGATTTCGTTTTCCAATATGATTGACTATTTTTTTCTATTAGTTGTTAGCTTGCCACTATTTTTTCCCCAATGACAATTGATCCCCTCGACTCTTTTGAGAACATCATGGCCACTCAATGGTTTTGGTGTTAAGTTGAATTCTTGCTTCCCATCAAATGCCTTCTTTGGTCTTCGATAAGGATGGGTTTTACATAAAAATCTTCTATGTCTTGTGAAGGAAATTTTTCTGCTATGCTTCAACTTCTTGGCATATATATTCTCACCACAAATAGGACATGCATGATATTCTTTGGCAGTGCAACCTGATAAGTTCCCATATGCTGGGAAATCATTGATCATCCATAGTAAAACAACTTTAAGACGAACCTTTATTGTCGGTATGCATTGTATGCTTGTATACCTTCTTCCCACAAAACTTTCAATTCATCAATTAAAGGTGTCAAATAAAC